CTTACACTGTTAAATTAGGGACGGCTAGCACAGATAGCCCTTGTGTAGCTTTGCGCGAAAATCAAAACAAACCAAACCAAAGATCCTTTCAGTTAAAGTATAGGGACTATATAATTTAATATGTTTAGGATGGTTACTGAAGAAATTTAAATATCGATAAGAATTTATATATATATATACATGTCTCTAAGGTTCTACCTTCAGACATTACAACTAAAATGTCTAAAAATTGTAAATAAATCCATACTTCAAAGTTAAATTAATATGAACGTTGATGTCATTAATTGACAAAACTTGCTTCGGTCATTAAAAAATATTAATGTAGAATCAAACACCAAAGAAAATTTTCCAAGTGACGTTCAAGTAATCATATTTATTTTAAAATGATATGAAATTTCAAACACCTTTTAAGTATTCCATTGCTAATGTTGCATAAGACAGGGGAAGTTGTTTGGTTGTTTTAGAGCAATTCAACTTTAAGCTATCTGCCTTGTCAACCTCGAGGAATCGAATCCCAGATTTTACTATTGCAAGTCCGTAAACATACCACTGTCACTCCGGAGGACCGTAAATAAGGGCTACTCTAGTACCCATAACAGTACCTGATAAATAATGGAACGTTTCTTCATTAATTACACTTAACGATACGGTTAGTTAAGACTAAACATAAACTTTCTAAAATGAAAATTGTTTAAATCTTGGGTTTAAAAGTTCTCTAAATTTATCTAAAGAAAATATTGTTGCTTCTGTTTAGGGTAAATAATTTTAATTTTCTGTTACAATCTAAAGTTATTCTAGAAACAAAGAAAAGGAAACTTATTTTGTATAGCAGATAAAATACAAAGTTTCACTAAGAAAACTTTTGATGTTCATTTAGGTTTTAAAAGTTATGTAAATGAAATTTGAAAATTGTAAGACGGAAAAGTATTTTTAATTTTAACATAAAAATCATCTTGCATCTAGACGAGTCAGAGTCTGGGTGAAACTCTGACTCCATAAATTTACAGAAAAATCTTCAGTAACAATGCTGTATTAAAACAATTTATTTTCTTATGTACAAAATAATTGTAATATTTACTAAAATCTTAGCAAATTTCATGAAGACACATAGTACATTAAACGTTATAGTATGTATGCTTTCATAGTTATATGGTGATTGCAAGGTTGGTTAAAATGACCAAACCTGTATAGAAAGGGTTGTCCAGCAGATCACTGAGACTTTCAGCTGTTTTTAATCTAGACTGCTATCACAATCCTCAACTAGTGGCCTCTGATGTGCTGGTAACTGAATATTCACTTTTGACGTGGTTTGATGAAAGAAAACATTAGAATTACAGCTACTATCGATCATCTCCACATTGCTTGCTGTTCCAATAACTATTCCAGCGGGAAACTAGATTGCTTCATTCGTAATTGTAGAGCAATACAGCTACTTTGTTCCCTGATGGCCATATCACCAATCATGCTACTAATGTTTGTATTCAGGGCAGAAAGCTGCCACGTCACATGGTGTAAATTCACTCAACCTTGTTTGTAGTAAACCACAGCACATTACTGGAATACACAAGGTACACAAGAACATTCTACTGTTCCTGTATTCATTCTGACCTGATGCAGGATGAAGTTGGCTGGCTGGGAGAATCTGCAGTACATCCATTCCAAGGATACCAATGCCAGAACCAAGTTCTGTAATGGCAACCTTCTGTGGTTCACGTGACCTACATGTAGTCAAAAATATGTTATTCCATTCACATCTAGAATGCTGTTGTTCGCCAGAACAAAGTAAATGTTCAGTGACTGGAGTGGTAACTTCACTTGAAGTGTCTGATGCATAGTGGTAGCCATTAAGGTCCTTGTAGCTTCTGTGTCAACCAGGAACTTCATTTCCCTAATATGTATCTTGACAGAAACTTACTAAGCGCCACCCATCCATGAAAGAGCTCCACATAAAATTAATACAATTTACAATTGTTATATAAGTCAAATATGTTTTGACGTCCCTTTTTCGAAATGGTTACCCAAAGATTCCGAAAAACTTTAATAAATGCTTCATATAATAATCATATTATTACGTTCGTGTATAATTCTTCTGTTAATCGATCAAGTATTTGGATAGATGTGACATCTCTCACTTCTCAAAATGAGCAGAATCACTCAATGAATACTTCACTGACTGGCACTGAACTCGTGTTTGTATCATATCCTTGTTGTTTTTATATATTACACGAACCTTCTCGATTCTTAACTTTCATGAGCTTTCCATATCATAACATCATCGTAATCATCAGCTTCCTCTAGGAAAAGTCTAAACTAAAACATTAAAAATATAGCTTACAACAATATTCTGAAACTGGAGTAGGTCATCTTACTTTCAGATATATATAAACTACTGGTAATACATCAGTTGTATTTTTGTGACTCATATGTACCAGTCGATTATATAAACTTAATTGATAAGTGACTGGTAATTATAAATAAATAAATGAAATGTCTGTAATACAACAAGCACGTGTATATATAATTCAATGGCCGACAATTTAATAAGATTTAATTGGAGCTCTGGCATAAATTACTTTTGCATCTGTAAAACTTACTGTTGTAGTGGATGAAGGGAACCTCGATGAGCATTGTAGCCGTCTGTCACCTTGCTGTTTGTTGTTGTTGTTGTTATATTTTCATATTTAGCTTCCATTTAGTTGTGTTTTATTATAACAATCTTGATTAAATATTAGTTTGTTTTGAATTTCCAACAAAGTTACACAAGGGTATCTGCGCCAGCTGTCCCTAAGTTAGCAGTGATAGACTAGAGGAAAGGCAGCTATTCAACAACACCTACTGCAAACTCTTTAGCTACTCTTTTACCAACAAATAATGGGATTAATTGTCACATTATTATGCTTCTCGACTGAAATGACGAGAATGTTCTGTGATATGGAATCGAAACCGCGACCTGCAGATTGCGATTCGAGTATCCTAACCATTAGGTCATACCAGGTTTAAATACTATTGTTACAAAATTGACATAAGAGTCTATTATGTTAGGATTTCCTTCTTGACTTTGTCAGCTAGAAGAGGTAATTATTTTTATTTTTTTTTAGTGAAATTAAAAGTATTAACTCGTTCATTAAATTATACTGTATTAGGATTTATAGACATCATTGAATTATAAAAGAGAGACAGTCAAACCAATTATTCGATTGGAAAAGCTAAAAAGATGGCGGTGGATGCTTAACTAACTGCCTTCCCTCTAGTCTATCATTAACAAACAAACATTAATAAACAAACAAGGAATAGAGACTGTTATTATAAGTTATAGTTCAGGCAGAGCCATCTTTCGTCAGATCGCCAGAGAGGACGGTATTCTCAAGTGACTTTCTCTTGTAGTTGTACTACAAAGTACGAGTTATACTAGGAGAATCATGTCCGACGTTAAGGAAACGCCTCCTTTCAGCGCTAATGTTGGTCGAAATGAGGATGATAATGACGATTTGTTTTCGTCTGCATTAGAGGTACTCAATTATTTATGTTATGTTGGTGTTAAACAGTAAAAGCTTGAGATATCACTTGTGAAGTGTGTTTTTAGTTCATAAGTAAAATATGTTCTCAAGACTTGTTACTAACGTTAGTTCTACTTCTACTCTAGTTCTAGTTTTGTCCTTCTAAATTATAGTAATAATACTATAGATAATTCAATTTGTGAGTCTGTTAAGTACTTGTCCATAGTGTTTCGCTGCATGATACTATCATGTGAACAATCAGCTGGTTAAAAAATTAGCTTACTGCACAAACTACTTTAGAGTTTTGTACTGTTAGAATCTTCATGAATTTGCTTAAATTAAAATCAAAGGAAGCTGGTGTTATTTTTGTAATGTAACTGTAACTTACGTTGTAAATGTAAGGAGAAGGTAAATGATATTGATAATCGAAACATTCAGCATTTTAACAGTGTGTGCACTATACTTTTGTCTTTGTTGCTAAAAATTAGACACAAAAAGGCACCTCAATTTTACAGTGCTAAGCATGGTTAGCATGCTGACCTTGTCGATTTGAGGATTTGTAGTTTGTGTCCTGTTAATTATTTAAAAAAAATTACAAATTTTTAAAACAGTAAATTGAACTTTACATCATGCAATTTATTAATGTTTTTAAATGTTCATAATGAAATTTGATAACTTATTTTTCTTTTATGGTACATAAAATCTAGATTGGTATGCTTGGTAAAATTTGGGTTATTTTTTATTAATATTCTTATTGTTTTATTTAGTAGTTTCTTAGTATATGGTATCAGAAGCAAAATTGGGTACACAAAAGCTTAACGTGAAATGGTATATGTATTTGTTATTATCAGTTGGAGACTGTAGTTACTTACAAAAATTTTTAAGCTATTCAAAGCTCACTGATTTTTACAAGGGTCACCTGTTTGGCAAGTAGTGGTACATTACACATATGTAATGAATTGGAATGAAGAGCTTTCCTTATATGTAATTTTAATTTTTAAACAAATTTTTGGTTCTGTCTCTGATCAATTTCTGAATATATGTATTTATCAATTATTAATTTTTTTTTCCATTAAATTTCTTTATAAATGTTATTTTGTGTGTACTACCTTTGAAAATAATAATAGGTAAATTCTTTTTTGTTTTTTTAAAAAAGACATTTGCCTTTTATTGTTTTGGTTGGGATTTTTGCCACTGTAATCCTTACCTATCAATAAGTAGTATAAAAGAAGTAAATCCCTTTGTTTAACCTAAGATTATATAATTTGTTGGTATTTTCGTAGGAGTTATGTAGATATAATTAAAAGAATATATTGAAGGTCTACCAGAGATAAAATGGTTTTTCAAAAATTTAGTTGAAAAAAAGGTGGTATATAGGACATTGTTTAATGAAGGATTGAGTCTGAGTGAAAATAAGTTATTTTTGATATAAATTTATAATTTTTTGATAGTTAATACTGAGTATTTCAAATTTTATAAGAAAGTAATTTCTTGATATTGAGAAAAACAATTTTTATAAAAGTAATTTTTTTTTGGAATTTTTTTTTATAAAGGCATACATTTGCAGTAGCAAAATATTACAACTTGTAATAGAATAAATGTGCTGAATGTATTATATTGCCTTGCTTATTCTCATAATATAACACATGGGCAACAAAAGACAATTTAGTCGTGCAAGTTTGTCACTATACACCAACAATTAAAAAATCAATGTAAAAATTATTATTGTTCTGCAAATTATTTATACTCCTTATCTTAAACTGTTGTAAAGTGCTGACCTCTGCTACTGCTGACATTCCATAAGTTAATCATTTTATAATAAAAATAAAACTATTCTAACTTGAGCCTACACTTTATTTTCCAATTCTTTAACTTGTGTCTTATAAACTATTATAAGATCACCTCTTACCCTTTTCTAAAGACAAAATAAGTTGAGAGATCTTAAACCTATTCTTATAACATAACCTTTCCATCCATGGAATCCTAATAGCTCTTCTCTTTTAAGTAATTCAATATCCTTTCTTAGATAGACAAGGAAATAAAAACTGTAGACAGCATTCCACATGAGACCTAACTGGTGAATCCATGTTGGCTCTCCTTTATAATACCATGTTTCCCTGAATGTATTTTCATAGCTTCCTTTAGCAGTCTAGAATTTTTCATATACATAAGTAAGACTTAACTGTTCCATAATTTCATAGAACAACTCTTATCTCCTTTAAAAACAGGAGTGACATTAAAAATTCTCCAATACTCTGGCACCTAAAACTGCCTAATAATAAAAATAGGAGTAACATTAACAACATTTTAATACTCAAGCACCTGCCACTATCTTATTACCTCCCCAAAATATAAGAGTGGGTTCACATATCTGATATTTGACCTCTTTTAAAACCTGGGCATGATCCAGATCAATTTCAACATTTCCAAATGAATGCTAAGGGTTAGAAATATTTCATAAATCATCTTGTAAAAACAGAATAAAACAAGAACATGCTCTGCTCAGCAATTTCATAGTCTTCAACAAATACCTTTTCATCAGAATCCTTCATGAAATTTATCCCCATTTTAACATCTTGCCTACTGTTTACATACTTTTATAACCATCTTTCTGTTTTAATTTGATTAGCCAGCTGGTTCTCATAAGTCCATTTTCAATTTCCTTTTTTCTATTAACTTAGTCCCTGAATTCCATAAATCTACTTTCCATCCTATCAATTAAACTTCATAAACTTACAGTACTTATCTCTGATTTTCTCTAACATTCTTAATAAGCCAGTTAGGTTTAATCATACTTATCCTTTTCTTTTTTCTTTTTTTTTTTAAGAACGTGTCTGTCTAATGAAAAGCAATTTATTCTTAAAAACTACTGAAGTCTGTTCCACATCATCTTCTAATTCATTATCCCAATTTAGTAATAAATCTGTGTCATGGCCTCAAAATTGACATTCTGAAAATTAGAAACTAAAATTTTCATTTCTTTTTTTTTTTCGTAACATGTTGTGAAACTCAAACCTAATAACACAGTAATCATTCTATCCAAAATATTCTCCCACTTCAACTCTTATAACCACATCCTAATTAGTGGTTAGTAGCTAATCAATAGTGGTATCTTTTCTATACCTTTCATTAAGTTTTTTTTTTTTTTAGTTTAGATGTTTGTATTATTTTTGGTTAGAGGAAGTTTTTAATGTCATGTGTTGAGTGAGCTTCTTAACCATTTCCAGATGGGTCAAAGGCCATTTCATCTCATTTGTTGACTCACATTCAAAGTTTTATTGAACTACTATTTTATGAATTTATGTCAATAAGTTGGTATCAAACTGTAGATTATAATTGAAATTTTAGTATTATACATTATTCAATTTCTGAATTTAAAATAAAATATTAAAAAACACTTAAACATCAATTTTTGTGTGTCACGTGGTATATTGAATGCAGCACTGGTTCAAATTAGATGTTTGTGGAGTCAAAATACTAAGTCCATAGTTTCGTATGAATTAGAAACTAAAATTACCAATATTGAAAAGCTAGAATGTAAAATAAGAACTTCCTATCTTTTCTATTTGCTGAAATATCTCTTATGTCCGGAATCAAACACAGTGACCCCACTCACCTCTTTCACTTTTTGGAAATGCTCTCTTTTATATACTTACTTCTGTATAGGATGTGAATAACAAACCTAAAGCTCAGAATGTCCCTCTAGTGGATTTCTCAGCCATTTTCAAATGATATTATGCCATCTCATTCTTTCGAAACGAGATTTCAGGGAGATAGGTTAAGTCTTTAGTCTGCTCAAAATTTCATATTTTCTTTGACCAAAATATAGCTTAGTTACTAAGCTTGATAAATTGTAGTGGAATTCTATGGTATCAATAGAGTAATTTATTATTTTTTAGTTTTTCAAGTGTATATATAAAACCTAAAAACAAATTATTTCACATTCTCCATGTGCAAAATTTTGTAAGGCTTAGCAACCTACAAAATGCAGCAAACGAGTTCAAAGGTTGTAACTAGAAGAGATAATTGTTTGCTTCCTTCTTTATTTGCTATTCTAAGTTTTAAGAAAAATGATTTTAAGAACTTATTTCTAAATAGTAATAATCTATATACATATATAATGTATAATAATTCAAATGTGGCTGTATTATACAAAATACTAGTCTACTAAAACACAGCCAAGACAGGAAACTTTGTAAAGACTAAAGATCAGTTTTATATTATTGGATACAGTAACATGAATTCAGGCAATCCCATCAAGTGGTTGTTGATATCATGTGATAATTAGCATGCACTCATTGCTGTGAAAGTAAACAAATATGCACTGTAGCCCCCATTTCTCAGTAGAAACAGTAGTGAAGTTAGGTTAGGCACACATGGCTTCTGAGTTTTGGGGCTGGCTCCTGGATATGAAAATATTTGTCGAGGCCTGCAATAAAATAACTTACCTTTAAATCTGTTAATTTACCTTTAAAACTTATTTTTTTTACAATCTCTCATTTGCCCTAACTATTCTTCCCTTATCACTGTGTATATCTAAACTTCCAGTAGTAAAATTTGTTAGAGCTTCCCAAAACTTATTACCTAGTCCAGTAAGTGGAGGTTTTCTCAAGCAAATGATTCAGCCTTGCTCTGAAAACTGTCTCATAGATCCAACCAGTGCTCTAAGAATATCAATGATTATCATTCATTTAAACCTTATTGTCTCAATCATCTTGTTCATACTCTAATATTTTTATGCTCAATTCAATTTACTACTACTATAAATTAACTGGGTAAGTTTCATGAATTGTTTTGACAAGGAATTCCCAGATTCCTGTTTCTGCTGATGTCCAAGGTTCTGACACTCCACATAATAAGTCTACTGTTACTATTTCAGTGGTGACTAGAGGTGCTGACAGTCAGAATTTGTACTGCCACTGTGCACTGAGTGGTTGTTTCTATTCTATTTTATTTATCTCGGATCCAATTTCCTTGACTCCTTCTTTCTGTTGCTTTGGCTGAATCTCTCTCATATTTTGATAATTTTGACCAAATATCAATGTTTTGAATACTTTGCTCTACATCCAGATTTTTTCCTCCATCTGTTGCTTTCTCTGGCTCATCCATGATGATTGGATTTTTTAGTTCTGGGCCCATCTCTTTTGGTTAGCCATAGTTCAGTACTTTTTTCAATCAGGTGATAAGAGTATTTGCTTGGTAGATGCATTAATATGGTTTTCATTTCTGCTACTTTATGGATAACTGGTTCTTTCTTACTCAGTTCAAAAAAACTTCCATGACTTCAGGAAGCATCTCATCTGATCAGTTGACTGGTGAAGTTCTCAAAGTCAGTCTTGACCCCCCACTCAGTATCTAGCTCATGTGGGAGTCTTTTTCAATTCAGGTGCAGGGTGGAATCAGCCATCTCCTTTATGTTTTTGAAACATGAAGCTTTTAGTTACTAAAACTGTTATGTCTCCTACTTTTCCTGTATGAGAATCCCTTTTTCTTCTAGAAGACCCCATATGTGTTCTCTTCAGTAGAACCTGGCTGATCAATGTGATATGTCTAGAGATTCCCTGTAATCTCTAGTATTTTTCCTGCCATCTCTTCACCTCTAGCTGTTGTGTTGACTTGACATTGAACACAAATTGTGTGACCTGCATCTTCTCACCTTATGCCTCTTTTTTTGGGTGGGTGTCACTTATGGACACCTGTACCAAGGATTGGTCTCCAAAGGAGCAGCCCTTTCATATCAGCATCCTAGAACTGTTGGCTTCTCATTGAAATTGATGTTATCATCAATCTCTTATGTCTGGGCTAAAGCTGGGCAATTTAATTGATATAATAGATTACCTAAGAGAATCAATTAGTGTTCTATAAACTAATCATTTAATCAAAATTACAGTTATTGCCATTTTCAATTATACTAACAATTGATTAATCCAAATTACAATTAAATCTTTTCTCATGAAAATAATCACCTAATTAAAATTAGTTGTTCTGATTGTTACTGTTTTCAGTTATTCCAACAATTGATTAATTGAAAATATGATTAAATTGATTGTCGTGAAGATAGCCAACTAATTTAAATTATGGTTTTCGATTATTCAGAATGTCCAAGTTATTGAAATATTGTCATTATGTTTGTCATTAAGCACAAAGCTGAATATTGGGCAGATGGGGATGCTTTGTTATTTGATGGTTTCATGTTTGATTCCCATTGCCACAATATTTGCTCATCCTGTCTTTGTTATTACAAAGCTTCTAAGACTATCTGCCACTGTCATTCATTTTGAACTGCTGACTAGAAGGAAGGCAACTGGCTGGTAGCACCCACTGCTAACTCTGGATAGTTAGGTATTAAATAAAGTGTAAATTTACTGTTTGTTGTTCACAGTATTATATTTCTAACTTATAATTGCATAACTATTTTATCTGATGTTGTATAAGCATGCACAGATCTGTGAGGAGGGGTTCTAGGGATCCAGGTCCCCCATCCATTTTTATTCCAGAAATTAATAACAGTATTCTTTAATGTTGTATAAGCAGGCACAGGCACATACATTTTTTCAAAAATTAACAGGTGTAGTGTTGCCAGATCACACAAGTGAAATTGTAGCTGAGTCCTGACACTTCAAAATCTAAAAATATGCATGTTAAAAAAGTTATTCAATTTACACCTGAAATTAAGTTACTTTTATAACCAACACTTAAACAAAGGTGTTGCTTTTTTTTTTAGCTACTTGTGTTGACAGGATAGGAAGTATGCAAGGAACTATAGAAATCAAGGTTATTATTATTATTATTATTATAGTGTAGTTAGAAAGATAGTAAATTGATGATTTGCAATTTCAAAATTTGTTTTGATGTCAGTAATTTTTATTTGTTGCACAGTTTTTTGTCTTCTTAATTTAAAGGAAGTTCAGTTAGTATTTTCTCATGCTACTATATGTGAGGATTCAATTATGGCAACTTGTGCAATAAAGTTTAAAATGAAAAACAAGATCAACTTTTAAAACATGCAATAAGATGTTTATTTGGCTGAAAGCCAAAATTAAAAAGACTCCATGTTTCGCTAGCTTTACGCTACCATCATCAGGAGTAAAAAAACCTACATGACAAGTGGGTAGTTTTATAAAGCAAACTATTCATAACACCCTCACAGATTACAATGAGTTAAACCTTTGATTTGTAAGACTACCTGTTAAAGCCTAAAGCTACTGACATGTGTAGGGTCTGTTTAATTTTGGTCATCAGCCAAATAAAAATTTTATTGTGCATTTTAAATGCTGATCTTGTTTTTAATTTTAAAAGCTACGCGTGTATTCGATTTAGCTTTAATGTAAGTAGTGTTGAATACATTTTCTATATTTTTAATGGACTCGAAAAACTGAAATAAGCCTTTGAGATCTTTTCCCTTATGATGACATCATACATATGACAAATTTTGGCACTATAAAATTTAGTACTACACCACTGCAAATTAATAAATATATTATGTAGTGTTGTATAAGCAAATGTAGACTTGAGGGGAGAGGTCAAAGGGGGTGTTTTGAGTAATAGTTTCTCAAAGTATGGATCTCTAACAACTTGAACATAAATTTAAACATCCATGAATCCTATGTTTGAAAAATGTTTAACATAAGTACTCCAGCTAGCAAGGTTTAATATTTCTTTTATTTTAATAAATATCAGTATTGTTCATCAAATATCGTGTATTGATTTTTACACATTTTGAAAAATAATTTTATTTCCAACATTTGGACATGATGTAAGCTTATAATTGAAACTAGTCATTTTTGAATATTTTATTGTGGATATTTTTAGGATGGAACCTCATTTTATTTAGAACTTGGTTATGAATACAACCTTTCTATGTCTTTTGAAACACTGCATTTAAAAACAAGTAAAGAATAAACTTTTCAATAAAGGAAGTAAATTTAGGGATGAATAATATCAATCCTTCAAAAACAATGCAAACAAGATAGTAGGGATGGCATTTGCATCATCCCTACATGATAGCAAAACTATCTTGTATGCATTGTTTTTGAAGGATTGATATTAGCCATCCCTACATTTACTTCCTATTTTGAAAAGTTTTTTCTTGTATATATAATATAGTTCATGGAACCCACTGAATGACTGGTTGTGTTTCACAGGGAATACTTTTTCCCAGAACCTGCATCAAAAGTTTGGGAGAGGGGGGTAAAAATGTATTAAACCTGTTTGCTTTTACTCAGTGCCCACTGTTGAGATGATTATTTTCACAAGAATGCTTTTGGCAGTGTATGTATATATGTATGTATTTTATCCTGTAGGTTATACTTCAAAAGAAGAAAAATATGACACCACCATGTGTATTTGCCTGTCCCCACATTTGGGCTACTGCTTGTTGTCCATATTCACAGTAATCCATTGCAGAGTCTCATTGTGGAAACTTGTGCACATGTGATGTTTCCTGTTCAGTCTAAGCACTTCTCATGCTTTTTACTCCATGGGAATAACTCCCTCTTCTTCACTTCTAGTGGAGGAAGGGAGAACCCCTGCTTTCCCATTACCAAACCACTGGGGAAATTGTGTTCTGGGATATTTTCTCACTTCAGTTAATTATATTGGTATCTTGTGTAAGTATGTCTCCACTATGGAATGACCTGACTTGTTGACTTAGCCACACTACACAAAAAGTTCTTGTGACAATATCTTTTGCTGTACCCTGCTTGAGATGGATGCAATCTCCCACCAAGTGATGTCTCCACTGGGCACTCCCCCCCTTTAGTGGGTGAAATGCTCCGTTCATTTTCCATTTTTGAAACTATGTTTTCAGAAAGGAGCTCTTCTTTGTAACTTCCTTATCTGCACTGGCCTCTCCATCATCTCCTCAGTGTAAGATTCTATGTAGAAATTGGGGTTGTTTATTTCATGTTGGGCATTGTGAAACTTGTGCCTTGTGAAGGTGAGACTGTAAAATTTTTCACTTGCTGGTGGGCAAATTTGGTTAATAAAAAAATTCCAGGAAAATGTAAGATTAGTCCTGCGTGGTATGATTTGAGAGTCCTGAAATTTGCTTCTGTAATCTATATGAACTGTGCAAACTGTTTGTAGGTTCATATCATTGTTACAGTGTCACTAATAACATAATAATTACAAGGAAATATTAAACAAATATACCTCCAGTGTTACAATTAATCCTATTAATTAATTCAAGGATTTCCTGTGTCTCATACAGAAAATAAGTGATTTCACTCAAGTTTAGTTCTTTACATTGATTAGTGAGTAGCTTAAAAAGATGGATATGTTTATTTTGTATTTAAATGTTTTATGTATTATGGATTAGAAAATAAAAATTTTTTCTTTTAAGCTACATTTCAACAATTTGGTCTGTTTTGTAAAACTGGAATCCCATCTTGTTAGCTTCTTGTGAATTATGTTTCTGGTATTTTCAGTACTTTTCCTAATGAATGTACTGAAAATGGCGAAACAAAACTTTATTGTAAAATTATAAAATGTTTGATATTAGAATAAAGAATGTAGAATTCTGCAAGAATAGGTGTTTTAATTTAGTGCAGAGTCAATATATAGTTAAAATACTTCAAAGGAACTTTAGTATCTGTAGTCTATTTCCTTAGGGAAAGTAGACATAAGTTCTAGTTTGAAATGTATTTTTTTTATTAATGATCTCTATGTGTATAGAAACAGTACTACAGTCCAAGTATTGAATTCTTTTTGTTTTGCTTTTCAGTCTCAGACTATAGGAAATACATCATTGTCATTAGATAACCATAATGAGGATGGAAGTAATAGGAACTTAGAAAACTTGTTTCAAGGTGAGTTTAAATTTTGCTACAATCAATACTGCATCATTAACATCTCCAAAAATGGTATGGGAAAAGGTTAGTTTTCAACAACATTATAATTCAGTGTTAAATACAGGAGTATTACTTGTGTTTGTTTGTCTTCTGGTTGAGATTCATTAATACAAGCTTTTTAAGTTTGTGTTTAATGTTTTTACCAGTTTTTTTCAGTTTTCTGTTTTACTTAGAGTACAGATTTTTTTTTGTCTATCTTATCATTTACACTTTTGATAGATTATTTAGATGTGTGAGGAAACGTACCATTGTAATAAAGTAACTACATATTTGCACAACTTTAATATTTATAAAATTTAAACACACTAAAAAAATACATAAAATTAGAGCTGAGCAATTAGAGGTATTTTCTAATTGATTAATCAACAAGCTTTTAAGATAATCTGAACCCTTCCTACTTGTTGAATGAATCTTTTATGTCGATAGAGATGGCCATGTTATTGTGATTTTTTGTTTTTAAAATTTGCTGTAATGCCCCACTTAATGAAAACATGTTTTACTCTCATTGTTAAGGATAATGATGTTTTAATTTAAAACATATCATGATTGCAATTAGAAATAATTAAATAGCAGGTTAGCCAATTTATTTATGTATGCTATTTGAATAGGATAAACGTAAAAATGATATTCAACAATCATTTGAGTCATAACAATATTTTACAGTCTACTACCATACCTGTTATAAAATAATTTTAACTAAACTTGTCTGAGTTGATGATGGTTTCATTTGGTAAACATAACACAAAAAACCTGACATTGCAACTCAAGAAAACTACAGTATATTTATTAAAAAGTATAAAATACTGTATTTTTTAAACAAAGACTGAAACATCAACTAGATACTTTTACTAAGTACTAAGCAATCTCCAATTGTGTGACTTCTTTGCTTCATACTGTATATATTTTGATAATCTAGTTCTGTAACAATGCAACTAGGCTGTCGTCAACAGCCTTGACTAGCTCAACAGAGACACATTGAGTAATCCTGACAACTATTTATTAACACAAAGACAACTTTCAAAGGGCAATTCGTGAACACTGGACAAGTGACATTCATATGTAGAGAGGCAGTGAAGATAACCACTATACTGAACAAACGTACGTATGCTAACTCATTTTACACGCTAAGCTCAGGCACTGTTAGATTGAAACGTACATTAAAATGCCTGCAGAAGCAATACTAATGAAAAACTAGTAACTCTAAAAAAAGCTTTTTTTTATATCTTGACAGTAAATTGAAGTGTTTATATCTGCTGCTCGGTATATATTGATACAATGTTTACCATGTTCAAAATAATTAACATAACACTAAGCCAAGCAATAGTAAACACTTTGTTCAAACATGTAACTGTTGAATTACATCATACACTGTAGATGTAATAAGTGTGTAATGATATGTTACCTTTTTCTAAAGGAGGAACAATTCTAATTAAATTCCTAACAATATATTTGTGTGTCAAGGTAAACTTTGTACGTTTGTTACTTTGTACTAAAGTTTTCATTGTTACTCAATACCCATTCAATCCATTTCCAAACAGTAGAAGCTTACTTCATCTTCAGTTACCTGATGTCTTTTTATTGAAGAAAATTTCTCTAACTTTCAAACAGATATAATTAAACACTCAAGTACTTTAACGACTTACAAACAAAAGATAACTAAAAAAAATCATTAAATGTATATACTTATTATTTCATGATATTTAATTCATGCTCTATCCAATCATATTTAAACCTTTTCTATATCTGTTTTCAAAGCTGTATTTGATGTGGCACTACAACAAGATTTCATCCAATGCTATAAAAAAACTAAGGGAAATGATTATAAATCAAGACATGGATAATATATATTCTCAAGGGGTGATAAATTCTTAGGATGGGCAGAAAATTGCGAAAAAAAAAAATTACAAGTAATTTGATTTGTTTACTGGTAAAACTTTTTGCAGTTCTTCAGAAATGAAAATATGAAGTTTTTTTCTTCATGAATTACACTAAATGAATGTCAGAAAATGAAAAATCAGTGAAAAAAACCTGTATTCAGACTTCAGGTGGAATAATTTAGAATTAAGATCCTTTTTCTTAACCTAAACTTTTTATATAAAACTATCATACACACAAGTTAACCCTTTCAAGCAGGTCACGGGTGAAAGGCCATATCATCTTGTTTTGTTGACTCGTATTCAAAATTTTTATTGAACTACTATTA